GACGGGGGCTCAGGCGCGGCCACGGCAGCTCCCAGCCGGGCGGGGAAGTGACCAGAGCCCACGCCCTGAGTGACGGGCCGTGTGGCACCTGCAAGGCCATTTTCCTGGGTTCCTGTGACCCTGATGAGCACCGCGCCTCACGCGACCATCACACAGGCCGGGCCCTGCGCCCGCGGCGTCACCAGCGGGTGGAGACTCGCTTTCCTAAGGCCCTGCTCCTACCTGAGCCACAATATTCTGCTTTGTTTAAACTACTCGCTGGGAAGAAAGGAACCAAGCGTTTAGAAAAATCGGACTGTTTCGGGGACGACGCATCTCGACTCACTCCCGCCGAGCCCTCTGCACGTCTCAGCTGCCTCCTCACCGAGTGAAAGCCAGGCATCTTCCCCCGTTTACTCAGCCACTCAGACCAAAACCTTCCAAACCGTTTTAGGATCCCATTTATCAAATACTTAAATGTCATTAGCCTGGATTGCTCAGGCACACACCCAGGTAGTGTTTTCACAGGGCTCCTGCTCCAGCTGACAGCATGTTTAACGGCAACACTATTAACTGTTAAAGCAGAAAGAGCCACTGACGGGCCTCCTGCCGGCCGGGTGACTCGCGACGCCCCGACCCCAGGCCCGTCACAGGGGCCGTCCCCAGCGGGTCTGTTTCTCCACATCAGCCACGGCCACACCCTGGACGCGCGGCCAGGCCGGCCACACGGTCGCACACTCCCACCGAGCACAGTCCCGTCCGTGCAGACTCAATGGTTTTCCCTCTGTCACCTTGAAGAGCGGAGAGATGTGCGCCCGTTTCAAGGACTCCTCCAGGCTGAAGGAGAAAAGCACCTCGGCCTCGGCGTCCCGGAGGAGGTAGCTCTGCTCGTCTGGAAAACAGGGGAGCGCGGCTCAGGGCGGACGGCAGGGAGGCCCGGCCACCGGGCAACTGCCCGCCTCTGGGTGTCATGTCCCACCTGCAGCGTTCCGTGTACAGATCCAAGACAGACAGACAGACATGCCCTCGCCGGAATCAGTCCCCACCTCCTCGATGCTCCTCCCTTCGCACCCTCAGACCCAGGGAAAGAGCCCCGGGCCCGGTGACAAGCTCCGAACCCAGCCTGACCGCCTGCTGTGAAATGGCCACGTGACCCGAAGGACACTAGATTCAATTAGTTAAATGGTATCGATTTTCCAAAAGCATTCCTTTTAAGTACGTGGAAGTATGTAGTAATTTATAAAGGATAGTTTTACCAAATTTTGAAGACTTCTGAGACTTTTTAATTGACTGGATTTCAGTTTTCACAATAACACTTTAAGAAGCAGCCGAGTTAAAGATCACAAATGTCCATCTTCTGATGAACACGTCTCGTGCCTTCCTCCCACAATAACCAACAGCATCGCACTGAGCTCAAAACCGGCAACAAATACACTCATCAAAGGCACGTGACAGGGAAGGGCCTAGACCCCGGGTGGGCACACTGGGGACAGCCGGACACAAATCCAGGACACACGGGCCACGTCGTTTCTGCCACATGCCCTCCCCTTCCTCGTCTTTCAAAACAGCGATTTTCAACCCTTTTCATCTCATGGCACATAAAACAATTGCTAAAATTCTGCAGCACACCAAAAACGATGTAATTTTTTGCTGATCTGACAAAAGGTATCATTTTGATTGATTTACAAAAAAAAAATAATAATAATTACCTACCCCTTTTAGCTCTAAAGCGACTTTTTAAAAACTCAGGTGCCTGTACTTGTGTATAAGGATTTCTGGTACCAGAATTAACTAATCAGACGCAGCCTCACTATGCGGCGTGAGCAGTGAGATGCAGCTGTTACATGACCTGTAAGTTTATGGCTCAAGACGGGGCCTTCACACCAGACGGCTCCTGTGATGTTGGCTGCTGTCATTTTTTTATCTGACGATCTAAAGGAGAAGAGCTCAGTGCCCCTGACTAGTCAGGTGTTACATGTTTTAAAAACGCTAGCGGCACACCGGTTGAACATCAATGTTTTAAAACAATTCTTTAAAATGTGAAAACCACTCTTAGCTCGTAGGCTAGTCTGCTCCCCCTGGGCAAGAGCCACCAGATCACAAAGAAATGCTGAAGTTTAGCAACTAGAGAAACACGAAATCAACCCTCCAGCCAACCACAGACCCTAAGGTGGGAGCAGACAGGAATGTGTAAGCACAGGAGAGATAAACATGAAGAGTTGGACAGACAGAAAGGCCTGTGGGCAGCTGAGCGGAGCACACGTGAGACAGCTTAAGTGTGAGCTCCCAGGGCGCAGACGGAGGCACAGCCGCCTTCCGGAGACCTGCGGAGGGACCCCCAGGAAGAGCTCAATGTGGAAGATGGAGAAACCGACACTGAAAAATAAAGTTGAGATGTTTGGTGGGATGAAAATGGAAATGAATTCAGGACAGAAACTTAAAAGTCGTTTGTCATCAACGCGAAGACACCGACACTCCTGCTCACCAATGAACTTCTGGCACTTGAGGCTCTCGTCCAGCCACTCGGGCGTCACGATGTGCCGCACCACGGACACGGCCGTCAGGAACTTGACCGTGCGCGTCACCTTGCTGGCGATGAGATGCGTGCACTTGTGTGCGGACTCGGCAATGTCGCCGCCGAGAATGTAGAGCTTCTGCAGGTGACGAGACACAGAGACGGGAGTGAGCCGAGCCCACAGGCCGAGGCCCAGAGCACACGCATCCAGTTCTCAGCCACAGAGCACGGACAGCCGGTCAAGCCCAGCCCACAGCACCGCAGGAGGGTGAAAGGCGGGATCGACAGGGCAGTTCTGACCAGTTTCACACAGATCAGGGTCAGACGCAAATTCTCCACCGGCGCCGACACCATGGCCACTCGTCCGCGGGGAGAGGTGAGTGCACCCAGAGTGTCTAAGCTGAGCCACGTGGTCAGGGGGCAGTTAACCCACAGGCTCTATTTTTAAAACGATGGCATGAAAATTGCCAAGACACAAACATGAAAAACGGTCTCTTGCACTGGCCAGTGGGACTCAGTGGTTAGAGCGTTGGCTGCGCACAGAAGGGTCTCGGGTTCGATTCTGGTCAAGGGCAGGCCCCTGGGTTGCAGGTTTTATTCCCGACCCCAGTCAGAGCAAGTGCGGGAGGCAACCAAGGCATGTTTCTCTCTCCCCACTTCTTCCCCTCCCCTCTCTCTAAAAAAATCAATGAAAAAAATATCCTCGGGGCAGGATTAACAACAAAAAGGTCTCAATAACTGCACTGAATTTTAAAAGTAAAAAAACAAAGAAATTATACTAAATTTATAATAGTAGCATTTACAATTGTTTCTTTTCCTTAAAAACAATGACAAGTGAAATGCATGAACACAACGCAGGTCAGCTTGGACTCCAGCCAGCCCCCCACGAAAACCGTGAAAACCGTGGCCCCACAGCCCTCATGCAGGTATCTCAGAGAGTTCATGTGAAATTTTGTAAAAACACACAGCCCCCACCTGGCCCCGACCAGGAAACTACCCGTGAGTCGACGGGGGTCCCGAGCAGGGGCCGGGGAGGACTGTCCCTCTCACCGGGACGGGCGTCTTTACGGAAGTGGCCTCGGCAGCCGTGACCGTGCGAGCGGCTGTGGTCTCACCCAGCCCACTTCCCCCGAGGGGAGCGCGAGGGCCTGGGGGGGCCGGGCCGTGTAACCACCGCTCACTCCCAACTCCCGCAAATGCTTCTCAGCAGACAGACAGGACGGGCCAGCACAGCGGCGCAGGGGACAGGGCGCACGGTCACCTTGACGTACTGCTGGACCTGCGCAGGCTCGAAGCCCGTGAACAGCACGGCAGGCGCCAGCTCCGGCGCTAGCTTCTTCGTGGGCGGCGGGATGTCTTCAATCCTACAGAGAGAACAGAGCAGATGCGGGCTTCGGGCTTCGTTGTTTACCTGCAGGATCCCCTTCAGCTGCGTGGTTTTCCTCACGGACAGCCGGGAGCTACCCGCCCGTCCTCCCGCCACAGGACCCACCGCAGGGCAGGACCGGCCCCCACGGCTCACGGAGCCGCCTCTGCCCACGGGTCCCCTGCACCCCCGTCCCAACTAACTTTTCTTCTTAATTGGCTTTAAAGAGAAGGTGACCACTCAGGCTGGCCCCACCCGCCGGTGTCCCGTGGACCCTGCCCAGGGGAGTCAGCTAGAGCGGGTGCCCCCGACAGGCTGGCCCGGCCCCCGCCCACCCCGACACCAGCAGCACAAACAGGCTGTGACCCAGGCACACACTTTAAACCACAGCCTTTTAATTTCCTTAAATTTTTCAAATCCCATTTTTAGNAACCCACAGGCTCTATTTTTAAAACGATGGCATGAAAATTGCCAAGACACAAACATGAAAAACGGTCTCTTGCACTGGCCAGTGGGACTCAGTGGTTAGAGCGTTGGCTGCGCACAGAAGGGTCTCGGGTTCGATTCTGGTCAAGGGCAGGCCCCTGGGTTGCAGGTTTTATTCCCGACCCCAGTCAGAGCAAGTGCGGGAGGCAACCAAGGCATGTTTCTCTCTCCCCACTTCTTCCCCTCCCCTCTCTCTAAAAAAATCAATGAAAAAAATATCCTCGGGGCAGGATTAACAACAAAAAGGTCTCAATAACTGCACTGAATTTTAAAAGTAAAAAAACAAAGAAATTATACTAAATTTATAATAGTAGCATTTACAATTGTTTCTTTTCCTTAAAAACAATGACAAGTGAAATGCATGAACACAACGCAGGTCAGCTTGGACTCCAGCCAGCCCCCCACGAAAACCGTGAAAACCGTGGCCCCACAGCCCTCATGCAGGTATCTCAGAGAGTTCATGTGAAATTTTGTAAAAACACACAGCCCCCACCTGGCCCCGACCAGGAAACTACCCGTGAGTCGACGGGGGTCCCGAGCAGGGGCCGGGGAGGACTGTCCCTCTCACCGGGACGGGCGTCTTTACGGAAGTGGCCTCGGCAGCCGTGACCGTGCGAGCGGCTGTGGTCTCACCCAGCCCACTTCCCCCGAGGGGAGCGCGAGGGCCTGGGGGGGCCGGGCCGTGTAACCACCGCTCACTCCCAACTCCCGCAAATGCTTCTCAGCAGACAGACAGGACGGGCCAGCACAGCGGCGCAGGGGACAGGGCGCACGGTCACCTTGACGTACTGCTGGACCTGCGCAGGCTCGAAGCCCGTGAACAGCACGGCAGGCGCCAGCTCCGGCGCTAGCTTCTTCGTGGGCGGCGGGATGTCTTCAATCCTACAGAGAGAACAGAGCAGATGCGGGCTTCGGGCTTCGTTGTTTACCTGCAGGATCCCCTTCAGCTGCGTGGTTTTCCTCACGGACAGCCGGGAGCTACCCGCCCGTCCTCCCGCCACAGGACCCACCGCAGGGCAGGACCGGCCCCCACGGCTCACGGAGCCGCCTCTGCCCACGGGTCCCCTGCACCCCCGTCCCAACTAACTTTTCTTCTTAATTGGCTTTAAAGAGAAGGTGACCACTCAGGCTGGCCCCACCCGCCGGTGTCCCGTGGACCCTGCCCAGGGGAGTCAGCTAGAGCGGGTGCCCCCGACAGGCTGGCCCGGCCCCCGCCCACCCCGACACCAGCAGCACAAACAGGCTGTGACCCAGGCACACACTTTAAACCACAGCCTTTTAATTTCCTTAAATTTTTCAAATCCCATTTTTAGCTTATATTCAATTGAGACAGTCTAGGCAAAAAAACACACAAGTTTATTCGTAGCATTTTGATGACAGTCTTAAAAATATAACCATGTAATTCATGTTCTACTACAAAACTCCGTGATTCACACGCCGTGTGGCTGTGGGAGGGGAGAGGGACGCTGAGCAGGGAGAAAAGGCGAGAAACTGACAGGGCAGGCAGCCAAGCAGTTAAGCTGTGCACCCCGGGGACGGTCTGGAAGCAGAGTTTTCTACAGTCGCGGAGGCGACCCCCTGCCTGGGGCCCACCCCTGCTGCGCCTGAGGACCCGCCCTCGCTGAGGGCGCCGCCCTGCTGTCCCCCCCGTCCTGCCACCCACCACGCAGCACGTGGCT